TGCGCGTGCCGACGCGGGCTCTGCACCCACGCGGCACCGAGTGGCGGCAGGGACGTCAGGAGCAGGGGGAACGACGCTGAAGCGGCCTGGACGTCCCCGTCACCTTCCCCCGTGAGCTCCGCACTCTCCCGCACCCCAGCCCGGAGCTGCCGTGCACTGATGGTGCCCGATTTCTAAAACCACGCAGGTCGACGTATGCCGAGAGGAAGTGGCAGATGTCAGCGTGCACTCGGACGGACCCAAACTTCTAGTAAAACATCGGATGTGACCTTGACGCTCCGCCAAGCGGGGCCTGAAAACGGCCACTGGGCCGCACTTGACGGGGCTTACACACCCAGCAGGTGTGGAAGGGGGGAGCTAGGGTCTGAACCAGGTCTGTCTGGATCCTGGGCTCATTCTCTCGAGCGCTGAACCCCCAGCCCGAGGTGCTCCACAGGGTCCTCCAGGTCCTGGGCCTGCTCTCTCCCCAGCATCCCACGGGACTCTCCACCACCAACCAAACCAGTGTCTGCCACGACCCTGACTGTGCCGTGTCCCCGCACCTGGTCCGCTGACACCTCCCCGTCTGCAGCCCCTTGTGCTGAATGGGAAGCCTTCCCACGACCCCGGGACTCAGCGTCTCTGCTGGGTGCGGCCCCCACCATGGCCCACGCCACGCTCCAGTCTCCGTGCCCCTGTAGACAGATCTCTGCCTTGCTCGCCCCCGTATCTCTGGTCTGGTACAGTGCTCCGTGCAGCAGGCACTGAAAAATATTCTGAATGAATGAATGACGTGAGCTTTGGTCCCAAACTGACAGGTATAAAGGACCAAAGACAGCGCAGCCACTAAGGAGACTGGAGGCCCCTCAAAAACTAGCAGATCTGCCGTGTGCCCAGCAACCCCACCTCCGGGTGTTTATTCACAGAAAACACAAACACTCATTCAAAATCGCACACACCCCTGTGGTCACCGCAGCGCTATTTACAGCAAGACATGGAAGGGACCTCAGTGCCCCTGATGGACGGCTGGATGAAGGTGCGGTGCACGCATTCAACCAAGTACCACTCAGCCACCAGAAAAGAGGGAGCCCTGCCACGCGACAACACGCATGGACCGTGACTGAGTCAGAGACAAACTGCACGACCTCGTGTGGGATCTAAACACACAAAACAAGCAGAAACACGCACAGAAACCGAGAACGGACCAATGGCTGCCAGGGGGCGAGGGGCAGTCACAGTGATAACTGCACAGGCACGGACGGTCGCTAGACTTGGTGTGGAGGCCACACTGTCAGGTCTATAAACGTCAAATCACTGTATCGTGCACCTGAAACGCATACCTAAATTTTAAAAAGCTGACACTCACTGAGCACGTGGCACCTCCATGTCATTTGCGCCTCCTGGCCGGCCCTGCAGTGGGCGACATCACGTCCACCCCACGGAACCGGAAACCGAAGGAGCAAAGCCAGACGCCAGGTCCCTCGCCAGGCGGCACAGGCCGAACTCGGCTTCCCCCAGACTCCGTTGGGTTTACTGAGGTCCCTTTCCTGGCCCGGGGCCCCACCCAGGACACGTGACAGTCACTGCTTCTACAGTCCTCTAGGCTGCGACGGTTTCTCAAACCCCTTGTTCCTGATAAACCTCGTCATCTCCGAGGAGCTGTGCTCGGGGACTTCGTGGACTGTCCCCCCGTGGGGTGTGGGGGACATTTTTCTCACGATTGGACTGGGGCGACAGTGTTTTGAGAGGGAGACCAGAGGTGATTCTCGCTTCGCGTTGAGAGTGCACGCCACCAGCGTGACAGCACGGTGAAGTCACCCCGGCCCTGCGCACTGCTCTGAGGGACGTCACCCGTGCAGCCCTCGCCCAGGCAGGGGGCTTGCCCCTCCTGGCAGGTGGGGTGGCCAGAGTGTCCGGAACTGCACAGATCTGTCATCTCTCCCACCTATTTCTCCATTCATTCCTATCAGGATGGACTCGTGGAGATTTGCTTTGTACTCTGGGCTGTGACTCAGTATTACTTTATTTTGTGGCTCGGATTGTTTCAGCGTTAGACGTGGGCTGGGTGTGCGAAGGGACAGGGGAGCCACCGAAAAGGCTCCCAGTGGCTACGGCCGTGCGCGTGTGGGCACTGCCTGGCCTGATGTACGAGCTCCAGACTCGTCTTGTGTTTCCTGCCGGCCCTAGAACCTGCCATTTCTCCAAGGAGCCCGGGGTCCTTTCATTAGAGACTGTGTTAGAAGCCAAGATCTGGGTGCCAGGTACGTGTCACCGCACGTGGACACAAATCCGCTGTCACGCTGCGTCCTGTCCGACGGCGGTTCTGAGTCGCACCTGACCTCAGCACAGGCCCCACGTGCGGGCCGAGTGACCAAGGAACACGCTGAAGCAGCGCGAAGTCTTGAAGCAGAAACAGTCGAGCAGCTGGGGCCTTACGGGTTGGAAACGGAGAGGCAACAAAGTACGTGACGTTGGTCTTTATCAATATCTCAATTTGACTTTTTCCCCCAGAAGATGTTGAAATTGAGGTTATTCTATTCCACTAATCAGCATCTCTTTTTGGATGTTTTGAAAATTAAAAATAAACCTAAAATATCTAATATACATTAAATACAAAAGGGGCTTAATGGAGAAATAACATCACATGTAACAGTATCTTCTAAAACCGAATTGATTTTCAGAACCTGCCGAAACTGTTCCTGAGCCGTGTCCCCCACCCTGCGGTAGCAGCTTCTCCCCCGGCAGACTGCGGGCAGATCTCTTCCCCGCACATTTCCTGCACATTTCAGATGCCGTCATCTGATGCTAACGCTTGCTGTCTGGATCTCACCGTTAAGTCTCACGAAACACGGTGAACACACTGCCCCCTGGCGGCGGACGCCATCGGACATCACCCATGCGAGGGCAGCACCTCGACTTGAGAGGTGAAAATGGTGGAGAGAGAATTGATGAAAGATTCACAACTGAACCGTGACCGTTCCCAGCTTCAAGACGCGAACACTCCGGGATTTCTGGGAAACCTCCCCCTCCCATAATTTCATCTCATTTTCAACGCAAAGCAACGCTTCTTATCCCGTGTCTTCTCCTCGTGTACGACACGTCAGAACTTTCTTCTGTAGAGTCAGTAAAACAGAATCCTGCTCTCCATCTCACCGGCAGGTTTTCCTAAGCTCCTCTCAGTGGCCACAGCTCAGCTCTACCCACTGTGGCGTCAGCCCCCAGGGACACTGCTCCGGCCCGAGGAAGGCCCGGCCCCCGCGTGCCAAAGGGCGGCGTCACGCTGTGCCAGCCTCCGGTTACTGACCTCCTGTCATGCTGACCACAGGTTTCTCTGCTCGAGCGTTCGTTAAATGACACGCCAGTCAAGGAACGGCAGTTAGCGCGGTAGGGGAAGTCCTGCCCAAATCATCTTGTAAAAATACTCGCATAAAATTAAAAATCGCATCATAAAGTCACCATTAATGTGTCTCTAAACGTAGTCTGTGCTCAGGCACAGGTGCGAGCGGGTGCACCTTCCTGCGCACCTGTGTCCACGTGCGTGTGCACGGGGGGGAGGGGGAGAGCTGCAGAAAAACGAGGGTGCTCTACGTGAAAAAATCCGCACCAAGTCAGAATTCTATTTTGATCGTCAAGTTTAAACTTATAATTGAAACTCACCTTTTCTGGAATATTTTGAGTAATGACGTCCAAATGTGACAGAACCGATAAAAACGTACAGATGCTCGTTTTAAGGTTTTCTTCACCCTGAAAAAATACCGCATAAACAAGAAATCACTCGAGGCTCACTGTGGCCGTGCGTGTGCCGCACTGTGCTGCCCCGGGCGCGGGGTGGGGGCCCGGGGGCAGACGTGGTTAAAAGGAAAGAGTAACTTCCTAGGGCCAAAGCCCACACACAGGACGGCCAGCAGACCACAGGGTGCTCATTTCACTGTGAAGGAAGTGGTGCCCTCTGGTGACGGGTGACGGGGTGACAGGTGACGGGAGGCCTGCACACCGGAAGGGCTACGATGCAGAGAAGGGGAGGGCGCGGGGCAGGAGCGAGGGGAGAGCAAGGAGAGGCCCGTGGCCGGCGAGGGCAGCAGCGCGGCAGAGGAGGGGCGGACAGAGGGCCCGAACGTGACGCAGCATCTCGGAGAGGACTTTAAAAGGCCTCGATGAAAAGCTACGTAAGAGTGTTCAACCGGACGCTGTTTCTGATCAGCAGCTGACAGGTGCCGGTGGACGGGAAAGGTCCAGGCAGAGTTCATGGGGCCCTCCGAGGACCAGGCAGAGTTCGGGGAGACCCTCCAAAGGTCAATCAGACAGTAACTGTCCGACAGCAGCTACCAAACGTCCTCCACGTGCCAGGCACTGCGCCGGCCGACTCGGCTCCCGCTGCGTGGCGCGTGGCGTCTCGTGGGGAGGGAACACAGAACCAACCGGGCAGTAAATGCAAATTCCAACTAGAACAACGAGGGTGCTCTACGTTGATGTGCCGCACAACCCCCCAGGGGACCCAAACCATCGGGGAGGACACTGCCTTTAAAAGACATGAATGACACGCCACCTGAGACGGGACAGTGGCAGTGATGTGGACGCAGAGGATGAGGCACAGGTGTGCCGTGCCCGAGAGGTCAGACGAGGTCGCAGGGACCTCGCCCTGGCAGGTCATGCCCTCTGCTTTGGTCAGGGAGCCACTAGCAAGCAGGACGCAGACAGAGACCGGGCAAGCGCGCATTCATCAGGACGTGTCCTCCCCAATGCCCATTCCTGGACCCTTAGCAGCCCCACCATCCCCACGACTGCAGCCGAGATGACAGACACTGAGTGAAGGAGCCGTGTGGAGTCCCAGCCCCGGCAAACCGAGAAAACAGCAGGACGCTGTTCAGGGCACTGGGTTTCAGTTCTAGCAGCAGGACACTGCGGGGGGCGGCGACAGCACAGGGCTGGACGTGCCCGAAGGCGCAGAAAACTGCGGGCCTCGCTGGAGACTCTGGTCCTCATCCCCAGCGACGGTTTAAGCGAGTGCGTAACCTGACCGCATTCTCGCTTGAGGAACCCGCGCCGGCTTTGGGGCTGGGACAGACTGAAACGGAGGCGGACGGCTGTCGGTGGCCCGGGAGGGGAGCATCACGCTGGCGACAGTGGCCGGGACCGAGACGTGACGGGAGAGGCAGAAGACGGGCAACGCGGAGACACGCGGGCGGTGGGCGCGGCAGGACCTGCTCGCGGAGCGGACGGGGGAGGCGGGGGGCGTCGAGGTCCGGTTTGTGCGGCCGCGTAGCCGGAGGTGCCGTCCGCGATGGCAGCGCCAAGTGTGGGGGGAAGCAGGGCGTTTGCTGTTGGACGCCCGAGTCTGCATGACTTAGATTCGAGAGAGTCTAGAGCAGGGGCCAGCACGCTTTCTGCGAAGGACCCGACGATGAGCCCGAACGCGGCCCTGCGGCCACAGACGACACCGCGGCCGACGGGCTCCGCTCCGCTCCGGGAGGCTGTGCCGGCCACACCGGGCTGGAGTCGGCCACGCTCCGATTCAGCACTTGGGGGGCGACGTCTGAAGCAAACGCATCAGTGAGTCGTTCGCCAAAGACAGTGATAAAACGGACCACGAAACAGGAGGGAGGACGGGAGGGCAGCTTCAGACGCGCTCACGCCTAACAGCTGGACAGACGAACGGACGGGAAGCCGGGAAAGGGCGCGGGAAGGAGGGGACAGAGGGCCGGGAGCCAGGGAAGTGGGTCACAGACCGAGGACAAGGGCGCTGTCAGCACCTGGATGGCGGGGGTAGGCGGCGGCAGCGAGGGCCAACTCGAAAGGGCGGGGCCGGGCTCAGGGTGGCGGCAGGGCCTAGAAGACAACTGGAGAGGGGGTGGGGACACCCGGGGACACCTGCCACCGAGAAGACGCGGCTCCTCGGGGATGAGTTTTACTTCCTTTAGAAAACAGGTCATGTGCTTCGAAGCCAGGAAGAAAAGGGTGCGGGGCATGTTTGGGTCCCCCACCCCGAGTTTAGGGACCTCTCCCACCCTACCGGTCTGCAGGAGGCTCAAGTAGCAGATTTCATTTCTCAGACTCCCTGAGGCTAACGAGAAGGCTCCGACCTGGATCGAGACGCCCCGAATCCCGACTGCAGCCTTGTAATGCGACAGGCGGAGCCCATAGGCGCCCCACGTCCACGCTGCTGGCGGAGGCCGCGGCACTGCGGTGCCAGCATCGCACGTCCACCGGGGTGGAGCACTGTCCCCGGTGGCCCGGCCTGTGGCCGCGGCTCCGGGGCGCGTAGCCCTGTCCCGCCTCGTTCCAGGCCCGGTTCTGCGACCTGCCCCCTCCACCGCTGGTGTGAAGTCCTTTTCCCTTCAATCAGCAAGTTATTTATTTGCTTAGATGAAAAGCCCTGGTGCCCACAGGAGAAGGTCTGGAGAGAATCTGAAATGAGCATACGGGGTCTGAGAGACGGCGCTGAGCAGGGGGACCCACCAGAATCGCGGGCAGCACCGCTGCGGGGGAGTCGGGGAGGCCTGGCAGAGGGGGCTGGGGGAAGGCGGGCGGGCAGCAGAGGCAGGCAGGCGG